GGATCGGCAGCAACTGTTTTCAACTTGTTTGGTCAGGTAGAACCTATGTAGAAATAGTTCATATAATCAATGAAATTTCTCGTTTCCTCACAGTAATAAGATGAAAACAACTCAATCATACTTGAGAACTTCTCGGTTTTTTGTTGAAGTAAAAGGATGAGAATAGTTCAAGTTCTTAGTGTCGTAGCTAGCGAATCTAATGATGTATCTCTCGCGTTGAAGTCATTCTGCCAGAAGTAAAAAGTTCTGAATTAATTGATTGACGTAGAGGTGATTATCATATATAATTCATATGAAAGTTACGGTCCAGCAATATATATATATATTTAATTCCGTAATAGCACGAAAATAAATAAGTCTCAGAAAACTAGAAGTACATTTGTTTGAAAGCTTTTACTGGTTTTATTCCTTTCTTGTGACGATCGATACGAGAGTAAATTGAATAACTTCTGATAGCCTCGCATCGTGTTTATAGACTAATGATTTATTGATGTTCTCGTTAAGTTGGGTTCTAAATGACATCTATTTGTAAAAACCTTAACGGTTGAAATACATTCTTTTCGACTGTTGTGATGTAATTATTTATTAGAAAAAGAAAATAGGGCAATGAGTTATTCTTGAATTGAAACATAAGAGTACGAAAATAATCGGAATCTTTCTTCTAAAAGCACTAAACATTTTTTATCAATTGGTATATTTCAAAATATCTGTCTACGGATTATCGATGAATCAAAATTGGCTTGATGGCTTTTGTTTTACAATAAATTTACGATTTTATTAGTGTTAAATATGTCACATATAAAAACTATCTTGCTTCTGGTACTAATGAAAATGTAAACGAAATAAAAAGCTTTTCGCATCAGCAAGGTTCAAAATTCAATGAAAAAAACTTTTAGCGTCATTCTTGTGAAACTAAACTACGAAACACGATGGATTCGTCCCACTTTTTAACTAAAATCCTGATCACATAGGTCCTTGTGAGACTCACAAGCTTAACTAATTTTGTATGTTAGTCATATTTTGTGGCAAGAAAAATTCTTATCTAATCCACTTCTCTGTTCTTCAAGTGCGAGAATAATTCATTCTTTGCACTATGAAGTCAGCCGTGCTTTCGCAACCATACTTAACAAAACGTTTTCTTGCAAAATGTTTTTTTGTTCTTCCTATAATGTTTACTCAGATCAAGAATGCTTTTTTGTTGATTTAGACTTTGAATTCTAGAGAATGTGCTGAAGCATCGAAATATGTTGAAGAGTTAACTAGAAAAAAGGTGTTTTTTACGCTTAGCATTGTTTTCAGGGTATTGCATTACTCTTGTAACAAGTATATTACATAGAAAGATACACAAATTTTTCTTTTATAGGCGTGACTCTATCATTCAACTTGCCAGGTCGAAATTTACATTAAAAAAATGGAACACTTTTTTTCTCTTCGATTCTCGTGATGGGGCTTGTAAAAATATGGAAATATCAAAGAAATTCAAAACATACATTCGTCAGAATATTTTGACGCAGGCTACTTGGATTCAAGCGGAATCTCGAATGTGACACATGTCCGATTGAGAAACAGTAAAACTGTTGAGTATCTCAGTAGTAGTTTGAAGAAAATTAGATGTGCGAGACACTTCTCGGATATTTCAGCAATGCCTCGATAAAGTCTATTTGTCATTTTGCTATATAAACTGTGAGATAAAAAAACCTCTACAATTCTTGCTTAACGAAATCGGAAGTATTTTCTCTAAATTCTGGCACGAATTTCACTAAATTATTCACTATTCATCGATATATCAGCATCTTGAAATGGTTTACTAGTCCAAAGTAAAGCGATGGAAACTAACCAAACTTATTTTATTCAATCACTGCTGACTGGAATAGAGATCATTTATCAAATGATTCACTATCAAAATATAGTCCATTTTATGTTTTTTTTCGACGGACTGTCCTCGAGCTGGTTAGCTTCTGACCACACTTGGAAACTAGCATATGTTTTTTTAGCGTGCATCTAGAAAAGGTACCAGAACTTCAGCCCAACTTGTAAGTCTCATCAGTATCTCGAATTTCAAAATTTCCAGTAACATACGGACATCATTTGGTCTACCTGTTCTTGGGTTTCAAACTTAGATAATTTTCCTCGTTTAACCTTCAAAATAGGGAGTGGTCGAAATAAGGATTTGCATGCCTCAACCCTTTACCGATTTTGAATATAAATTGAATACACAATCATATGCAGAACGTTCCTAATCAATATGGTAGTATCACGGTACGAAGATGATTTTCAGTCTCTTTACCAATCGACTCGAGCAATATAGCGACGCACATCAAATTAGGACTATGGACTTCAATAAAAGTTCTCCTAAACGAGTAATCGAAAGTGCAAGAGTTCTGCCTGTTCGTAGATGAGTTCTATGTCTGGTTTAGCACGACTATTTACATGTATTAAAAGCATTATTGATAAGTAAAGAAAGGGGAAAATGCAACCGTGAAAAACAATGAAATTTTCTATGATTAAATAAGGATTATTTGTATTTCTACAGTTTCAATTATGAATGACTAAACTGCCCTTCTCGCAATAGAAGATCTATCTAGAGGAAAACTTCAACGTGCGTAACAGAAGACTCTTCTTTAATTAATTAATTTTTTTAATAATTAAGAGTCTTAATTAGTGGTTTTCTGTGAAAATGTGCCCAGTTTTTAGAGCTTTAAGCCGAAAATCCTAAAGAAGTATGTTCAAAATTATCCCTAGCATTTTAAAATCATCACAACCCCACTAAAAAAAAATCCTGAAATTGCACAAGTTTTCTGGAAACCCTTTTAATTGGAAATTAGGAAAAAATATGGGACATAATACAACATATTGATGGAAAGTTTTTACACTGAAACCTAATAGAAGATTCGTGAGAACAAGATTTCCTTGTTTCATTCATCCACGATGTATTTTAGAAATCCTCAATCGACGCATCACTCAATACGGGCAAAGTCTTGGAGCCACTTTTAGGCGAGATTGAATTTAGACATGTTCAATTCCAGTATCCTACTCGTGATGTTGAAGTTAGCTTTTCTTTCTAGAATAAGATTACTGAGATCATTTCTCATGTTTCTTGCTTAATTTTAAGATTTTTAAAGATTTAAGCTTCACAATAAAGGCTGGTCAAACCGTTGCCATTGTGGGTGATACTGGATGCGGAAGTATGATTCATTTATATTATATTGTTAATGCTTTTTATGTTATATCACTTTCAGAAAGTACAATCATCCATTTGATACTAAGATTCTATGATGTCAAATCAGGCCAAGTAAGTACTATGTGCTCTGGTGAATAAACTCTGTATTCTATTACTTTGTCTAAAAGAATCTCGAAAATGTTATATGATTAGTTACTAAAATTTGACGTACTGAAACCTGGTTTCGTTGTTTATGAAAGAACTAACTTCGTTTGACTTTGCTGTAAAAATCGTGCAGTAAGCCGGAAATTTATTAAAACGGTTACAACTTTGGATCAGTAGGGCGTCAGCATGAATTCCTCTAAAGTTTTCTTCATCTTACTGCATCCTATGAATTTCCTAAATATGGAGTCGAACGGCGTTTGCTTTTTGAATATGTTTTCTCATAATTATATTTGTACAGTTCGTGATTGGTGTTTTCTGCAAACTCATTATATTAGACGAATCTCAATCAAAATGGGATGCCCTAAGAATAAAACGCCGATATGTTTTTTCTAGATGCAGTTTATGTAGAGAGTTCTTTCTATTTTAATTGGCTTTCATGGTTCATAAGTGTGACAAGAATAATTCCGAGTAGAGTATCTTTTTCGAATTTACCAAATGACTTTAGAAGTATTCATTCGATAATTTGATCAATGGTTATCTGCTGATTACTGCACTTTCATAAACTATAAGACAGTATTCTATTCTGTATGCTCGTATTTGCATTTTGTAATAGCTTGCACACAACACTTGAGTTGATTTCAGTCGGTCACGCTCTGTCATTGATCGAAACAGCAACTCCCGAAGTTTTCACAAGGGAATAATAGAAGACCGAAAATAAATACTCATCTCTTGTTCTCATATGTTGACTTATAGATTCTCATCGATAATCATCCTATTGATTCTCTCAATCTTGCTTGGCTACGTTCAAATATTGGGATCGTCAGTCAAGAGCCCATTCTTTTTCCAATATCGATCGAAGAGAACATCCGCTTGGGAAAACAAGATGCATCATTGGATGAAATCCGTCAAGCTTGCAAAATGGCCAATATTCATGATTTCATCATGTCAAAACTTGACCAAGTAAATCTTTGATTATTTTTTTCAAGTCTTACAATGTAAATATATGGTTATTTTCTTAAAATATAGAACTATGCCACCATCGTCAACGAGAAATTATCTGGTGGTGAGCGACAACGTCTGGCTATTGCGCGAGCACTTGTTGCTAATCCGAAGATTCTTCTTCTCGATGAAGCAACCTCGGCACTCGGTATCTTTAAGCACGCATCTATAGATCTGATAGTGTTCTCAATGTTGTCATGCGATTCTTGGTTGAGAATTAACTAGCCGAATGCACTTAATGAATATCTTTGTTTGGTTTAGCTGACTGGGAGTTTTTTCACAAAAAAAATTTGTAATGTGAAGGCTTTTTGATAAAACTAACTCTCGATATCAGTGTGCAAATTTTATCAACGTGAATACATGTTTGAGTATCCTCAACCTACATAAAACGTATCATACTTTTGATTCAGTCTCCAATGTGAAAGTAAAGGCTGAATTTATGGAAAACTCTTCTTGTTCGAGAAAAATTTCAAACTGGAGTCTAATAATCATGAGAAATTTTCGTGTCCATGTGCTGATTGTTTGAATACGTAGTCTTTATTTAGAAAAAAATGGTTAAACATTTCAAAACACTTCCACGAAATAAAAAAAACTATTATTCGAAATATTCAATTTTTTTCTTGTTACAGACAGTGCCAATGAGCTGCTCGTTCAACAAGCCCTCGATCAAGCTAAAATGGGTCGTACTACCATTGTCGTAGCTCATCGTCTTTCTACGATTCGCAATGCCGACTTAATTTTGACCATGAAAACTCATTCAGACATTGTTGAAATGGGTACACACAGTCAACTTATACTCAAAAAGGGTCATTATTTTCAACTCGCGCAAGCACAACAGCAAGATCCGAATTCGGATACGCATGATGAAGAAATCTTCTGTGATAATCAATCGGTTCAGGAAGCTGGTGAGTAAGTTCATTATAAAGAAGATAGTTTATATATTACGTTCCGAATTAGCAAAATAGTATAGATTATTAAGAGGCGAATAAACTACATTCTTATGCAAAGAATTTTTCGGAATTTTTGCGGATATTTGAGCTTGTCTCTCCCTGAAAAATAATCCATGTTCGTGGAAGCATTAAGATTGAAATAAGTCCATAGAAAGCTAGTTCGACGTGTAATTTTTAATAGTTGACATAGTATGTTATTTAGTATTTTTTTTCTCGAAAGTAATTCACAATTGTCTGATTAATATGTACAGGTTTTTTTATAAAAGGTGAACTAAGTTTCTTGTTTGAAAGAGTATATCAAGATGCTGGAAAAACCAACCTACTTTTTGCGACTTAAACATATTTTGGATTATATTTAGAGTACTTTTATAATTCAAATATAATTACTTGTGAGTTTCTCGAGAAATTGAAAGTTTGATTTGTGCTCTTCCTCTTCAAAGCAAGTAATAGTTTTTAAAGCCAAGACTTTGTCATGCTCCAAATTGTGGCATGTTCTTCCAAATGAACAAAATCAAGTCTATGAAATTTACGTTCTTAGAGAAATTCGGATGGCCCAATAAGTTTTTTTCTGCAATTTTTCTTTGCTAAATATCTCTCTAAAGTAGCTCCAATACGATTCGGAATTTTTTCATAATCTTTCTACTACAGTTTCGACATGAGCAAAAATTTTCTTCAATGCCAATGTCTTCGGACCATGATCTTTGTCATGTGATTATTTGTCAGAGTTTTATAAAGATTTCAAAAACTTCTCATCGATTGCCAACGATTTTTCGAGCAGAAATTCAATTTTCAACTTGAACTCGAGTGCGGTATGAATATGTGTAAAATATCAAAAGAATTTTCTAACAAGTTTTAGAAGTTTGAAGAAATATCCATATTCTCAACTCAATCTTTCGTTTTTGAATAGCATTATAGATACACCACCGTATATATGCTATTAATGGAATCGAGATTTTAGCTTGTGTATAAGCGAAAGTTGATACGAACATTTCAAGTACCAACTCGCTATTGCAGGAAATTCTAGTTCTTGGGACACTACTCACTGTAATAATGATTGTAGCTTTTTTTCACATCTTAACAAGCTTTTACCAGAACTCTATGGGGTTTTCATATTGGCCTAAAATATGTGTTAGATTAAAAATGGTCTGTTATAATAGCAAACTAGGGCGAAGCTAAAGGATTAGATCCTGTCAAATGGTTTTAACACTGAAAGAAACCTATTAAAAGTGACTGGGAGCCCTTTCAACCGAATTCTGGTACTCGCATTAAACTGGATACCAGCGAATTCTGAGGGAATTCTACCAATTTTTATCGGATTCAGACGAAAACTGATAAAATCAGGATCAGAATCCTGTTCATGAGGTTGTTTGTCTTGGAAAGTGAGAGTCATCTCTAAATCTCAGTCACTAACGGTCAATCATAGAAGATGATGCATTGAGCTAGAAGAGAAAAAAATATATAATTTAAATCTCAAGATTTCAAATTGAATGTGGATGCGAAAATCTAAATTCAATAATTCTGAATATCCAAACCCTAGTGTTAAGAAACAATGCTTCAACATCCTAAAAGACTACGTTTTATAGTTCTACAAAGGAAAATCTCACGATCGAAAACAACAAAATTCTACGATCTGAAGAAGTTGTATCAACAATTAACAGTTGAAAGTGATACTTCATAATTTACATTTAGTTATTATAAGAAGTAATCATAGAGGGATAATAAATAATCAATAATTAATAATAACGTTTCCAGAAAAAGTTTTAATTCTTTGTCAGTATCTAGAAAAAAGCGTAGTTAATTTATGAATTTAGATCACTAGCAAGCTAGTTCAACAATAATAAATGCTAGTTGGATGTTTATCTGAAACCTAGGTCTTCGAAAGTTTGTCACCAATTTAAAATTTTGCGTTTCTCTTGGGATCTATTATCGTCAAAAGTCAGAACTCCGACAAGTGATTATAATACTTTTCGCTCTTCTTACTGGTTACATGATTCTGTAGAAAAATCATCAAATGACATAACTTTCTACGTAGTACCTCTTTTCTCTGGTTATTTCTTCCAATCTGTTTAAAGGTATTAACTAATGTTTTCGTGTTCTCGTCTAGATGAAACCTTGTCCAGAAGAACATCAGTAGCGTCGACTATTATGACACAACTTAACATGTCAGAAAACCTCGACGAGGAATCAGAAAAAAACCAGCAAAAGAAAAAGAAACTCTTGTGCTGGCATCGACCGTTGTTTCTCAGATTGCTTGCTCTTAATAGACCAGAATGGGTTTATATTCTTTTTGGCACATTTGCTTCAATGTTGGCTGGTGCTACTGCACCAGTGGTCGGTATTATTTTCTCATCTCTCTATCACCAATATGCCAACACTGATCTTGCTAATCAAGTTCGTCAAACGCGCAACCTTGCTGTGATTATGATCTGCCTGCACATAGCTGGTGGTATCTTTACTTGGGCTACTACATGGGCCTTTGCGATCTCAGGCGAGCGACTGACTCGGCGCATGCGTCTTGCTGCTTTTGCAGCTGTGCTTCGACAAGAAGTCGGTTGGTTCGATATGGAAGAGAACTCCGTTAGTGTCCTTACCACTCAACTCTCAGTAGATGCAGCAGCATTGAAAGTAAGAATTTATCACGAAAGCATCTGAAATTGTAACCTTGGATGCGTGTGAATGTGTTTTTGCCATGATTGTGGTCATTGGGTACCCAATGCGAGCTAATAGAAAAAGCATATACACGTTGAGATTCTTTTGCCTTTTCATAGGCAGAATGTCCTATTTAGAATCATAATAAAAAGCCTGAGTCGAACGATGGAGTAATGTTAGACTTGAATTTGCATTAAGCTGCAATATCAGCTGTTAACATTTAAATCTTAAAGTTGAAGTTTTTCTCAATTCGGTTTTCAACCATTCAACTATATTGGAAATTGATCAGTTTTAATTTTCCTATAATCATGTTTTCTGTAGCTAACTATCTAAGCGTAATTCAATGAGTTCTATTTTCATGTTCTTTGTGCAAGGAAATGTATAAATTATTATGACTATCATCAGAAAATGGTATTGCAATATTTCCATAACGATATTATACAGATCTGAGTGTATCGACACCGAAACCGAGAGAGATATGTCTATGTAAGAGTCAGTCCACGTAAGCCACGACTGACTTTGCTCAATCAGAGATCCCAAATTTTTGGTTGCACTCTGCAATAACTCTTGGCTCTGTAGTGCTTGAAAAGAAAGTTTGAACGCAATCCCATCCATATCTTAGAAGAAAATCTATCAGAAAGATAATTTTTCTATTGTTTTTTGATAAAAACTTTGAAAAATCTTACAAAAAATTGTTCGAAAAGTCAATGGAACTCCACAAAAAGATCTTTAATAATGATTAAAAAATTGGTTCTCAGCCTAAAAAAATATGCTCTACAAAATGGAATAGATACCATACAAATCTAAGACTATGATTGAGCAGCCTCCTATGGCAGTAGGTCGTGGCTTATATAGACTGGCTCGTAAACAGTAGCCGAAAACTTCTAACTGAATTCGAATATAGAATGTTTTCTATCATAACCACGTTTTTATAAATTTATCCCTCGAGTGAAAAGTTGTAGCTAAGCACGCTCTGCAAAATGACTTTTGATCGAGTATATTATGTTATGTAGTTGAGAAGATATAAGCTTACACACGTAATTAACAAAAAGACAATTAACGATTGTGCCTTTCAGAACAAAAACTAATGAAAATATTTGACTGTGTGAAGCTTGAGTACTCAATTCAATTGCAAAATCAACTGTAAATCATAGTACATATGGTTACTATTAGGTGTTATTTACATATTTTCTAAATGAATAGGTTGATGAATGTTTTCTAGCTTTGAAGAAACTTATTTCCAGTTGGATAGCCACATTACCATTGCTGAAGCATTGTAGCCTTCTGAGAAAACATGTTCACATCAGTAATAATGAATTACAAAAACAAAAACAAGCCGCATATTAAAAAGGAAGATAGTAAATGATAGATTGGCACCTAGTGCATCAAAATTGTTACAACAGAAAAAATTGAAAAATTGAGATTTGATTTTTTCAAAGAAAAAAACATTCATCAAGTGGTTCTTTTAGAATAAATGTATTCGACATCTAAAATTAATTGTATTACGACTTAAAAGTATCTTTGCAACTGAATGGAGTGCTCCAGCTGTATACAGTCGACTATTTTAATTGATTTTTGTTCTGGAAGACACATGGTTAAGTTTTATTTTTTATCAGGTATATAGCTAAGCTCATACCTTCTTAACTACTTAGTATAACGAACTCACTCAAATGTCATTTTGTAGATCGTGTTTTGCTGCATATTTTCACGCTAAACGCAAGTTTATAAAACATGATTTAATCTAGAAGAGTTTAATATCCAAATTGAGCCACAACTTCTCGGCAGTTCTTTATGTGTTTTAGAAAATGAGAAATCGAAATGGGAGAGTTGAAAATTGAAACTTTGCATTTCAGTTGAATTCAAGTTTGAAATTTCACATATAAGTGAATTCTAAAATGTAATCAGACTTGTCATATATTCTAATATACACATTTAGTTCTGTTTTCTATAGGGTCTATCAGGTATCCGAATCGGTAAGATGAAACACGCACTTTTTATTTATGTGTATCTGTGAATCGTACTTCGTGCTATTCAGGAGTGAGTTTACAAGCACTAGGTTCTCTTGTGACGGCTATAGTTATCTCATTTCAAGCTGGATGGAAACTATCTTGTGCCATGTTTTGTTTTGCTCCTTTAATGGTCTTGGCCGGTCTTCTACAAGGACAAAGTCAATCGAAGTCAGGCAAGACTAAATCGATGACTAACTGGACTGATCAAGGAGCACAGGTTAGTAATTTTTATTGTGTTAACACTTCAAGGATCGATTCATTCTCTCTTTTGTCATAGTATACCGCACAAGCGTTTAGCAATATACGTACAGTTGTGGCTCTTGGACGTGAAGAATACTTCATTCAGAAGTTTGAAAGCGCATTTAATAAATATTTTTGGTATGAAGTAACATGTTAAATAGTAGTGTTGAGTGTTCGGGATGTTGGCTGCGGTTTCAAGGGATGTCGATTTTTTTCAAGATCTTTCGAGGAATTCTCCATGCATTATTATTATAATAAGTCTACTATTTGGTTAATCGTGTTCACAGATGGAGTACTAATCTTTTAGGTGCATTATTGATTACGCGAACACAATTTTCTGTTTAGCTTCGCATGACGTTCACTAAAACTATTGGATGAGTACGTAGACACAGAATTTAAGAGCTTATTCAGAAAATTACTAGATACGAAACAAATGAAAAAATCATTCATATGAAGTTTGAGTACAGATTACTCTCCAACTGTGTAGATTTCTTGCATCTCTTTGTTTCTTCATCTGCAAAAGAGCGACTTACCCTTCGACTCTATGTTTGACTTCTAATGAAGTTAAGAATATGATGAAGGAATATGATCGGTGCTTACTCATACAATCGTCTGTTGCCGATACGTATCTTATGATGTACATAAGACGTTCCTTTCGCTCAAATAAGTAATTTTTCATTTACAAAGACTAGAAACAATGATGTGACACTACTTGTGGTGAAAAAGTGAAAAAATTACAGCAAAATCTTGGGGATTAAAATATGAAAACGATAGTCTGATCTTTCTTAAATAACAGTCTTACCTATACGTGTTATGTTGTTATTTAGTGTCAAATGGGCTATCATTTTCTACCGAGCAGTTTCTAATCTAAATGGATGCGTGAAATGAACGTCTTCTCTTTAGGGTACATGTCACACTCTATTAGAGCGAGTAGATGGAAGGACATAGATCTAAACTCAAGCTTACTTGTATAGAATATAATAATGATGGGCATTCAAGCGAAGTTCTTGAAACCACCAAAAATAAACTTAGTTTTCAAGTATCGCCCCATTTTGCTTTATCATGAGTATTTGTACGTTTCAGGAAATCATCCCGCCTCTTGATTATGAGTTCAATTCAAAAGATGAGCGAATTTCGTCCACTCTATATAAACCGTTTGCATTACTTTTCATGTCAAAATCAACATTCCGATCAACTATATGTGTACTAAAAGAGCCACGTACTTTCACATAGATCTGTGCAGTCTGATTCACTTCCTGTAATGATGAAAAAACTAGATGGTAGCTACTACGATTTTCGAGTTTTTCATCTTACACTCTCTTTCTAATCTAATTACTGTTCTGCAAATAGATGGTGGTAACTGTTAACACTCTTTGGTAACGAAAGATTTTCTTTCACATCCCATATATATTATTAATCTTAACTGGCAGTTAATATGAAATAATTCTACTAAGTATCTGTCGAAAAAGTAGTCCAATGAGGCCGTGTTAGAATCATTGGAGTTAAGTGATGTATTAGTCGTACCACACAAATTTCTACGCCATATTTCGAAGAAAGATGGAAATAGAAATGGTTACTAGACCTACAAAAAATATATTTATTCTTGAAATATTTAGGAAGCCTGCTACAAAGATTGAGGCATGTGGACAGAAAGTAGTTTGAACAACATGATGACAGACACGCAATAGATTGATTACTGCATTAGAACTTAAGTCACTGCAATATTAGACCGTACGTAGTAATCGCAAGCTACAAAGAAGATTTCCACTTTATATAGACATATTCTCATACTAAGACACAATTAGTGACAAATTAAAATATGACAGAACACACAGAGCGGATTATAAGATGAACTATAGGTAGGTGTGCAACCAAGAATTATCAACTATTTGGACACATATTCTACCGTTAAGCAAGAAAAGACATCATTGTTCAATTTCAATTACTGTCTAACACATTTCAGCCAAGGGAATAGTAGTACTCAGTAATGTCCTTCTTATTGCATTCAGGAGTATTGTACCGAAGACTCATATGCAAGCGATTGGCTATGGTATATCGAATTCACTGCTTTTCTTTCTTCATGTTGTCACGTTCACATACGGCTCAAAATTGGTTGAAAACGGTGAAATGACAGTCGAACAAGTTTTTCGGTATATGCTGAATTTATTATACACTATAATTATAGAAAAAGATTCAACACTCTTCTTTCATTTCTTCTAGTGTTTTCATCGTCATTACCTTTGCTGCTACAGCATTTGGTCAAAGCACAGCAATGATGCCTGAATATTCAAAAGCTCGAACAGCAGCTATTCGAATTTTCGCGTTGATCGAAAGGCGCTCGGCCATTGATCCTGACAATGACGATAATAATGGTGTCATATTGGTATGGTGATCCCTTTTTTTTAAAGTTATTAGATAAAATCAATCTAAACTAGCCCATTCACACACTTAAGAGAGCTTTCTACAGCTAAGTATGGATAGCGCAGAAAAGAGTAACAAATTCTAGTGACTCTTCATCGAATGCTCGTCTTCTATGAAAGCTATGTCTCCAAAAACTGATCAAATCATTGTTTTTTACACTCGTTGATCAAATAAATTATACCAGAGCGAAAAATTTTGACCAATATTCAATATCATGAGCTGTTCATCTTTTCACGAACACGTTTCGAAATTCAACATTTGACATAAGACAAGTCGGTGGAACCTCTATAGATCACTCTATTTATCCAGTTTCAAATCGAAATTGTGTTCGAAAAAGAGAGTGTTTTTTTAAAAGCATGCCACTGTTATCATTTTCTATAGCCACTTGACAATATTGAAGGAGCAGTTGAATTCAAAAATGTTCATTTTTCTTATCCGACACGCTCTAAAAAATTGGTACTGAAAAATTGTTCATTCAAGTGTGCTCCACTCTCATCAACTGCATTGGTTGGTAAATCAGGTCATGGGTAAATTTTCAGTTGGATGGAGACTTAGATATTTTAATGTAAAAATTCATATTTGCAGAAAATCGACTGTCATTAGTCTTCTTCTACGATTCTACGATCCTCAACAAGGTTCAATTCTACTAGATGGCTATGATTTACGATCTCTCAATCTAAGATGGCTACGATCAATTATTGGCATCGTTCAACAAGAACCTGTTCTTTTCGATTTCAACATTCGCGATAATATTGCTTATGGCATGCTTGATCGTACAGTAACCGATGAAGAAATCCATCATGTTGCTAAACTTGCCAATATTCATGATACGATCATCAGTATGCCGAAAGTGAGTTGTTATAACTCTTTCGCTGGTGAATAGTCATAAATGTTGTTGATATTTACTTATAAACAATGAAACTTTTTTCTTTATCTGATATTGTTTATCTAGTTTATAGCATGAATGAAAACGCTACCTCTACTAGAAATTACGCAATCCAAATCTTAAACTAATATAGATCACAAAATTTTGAATGATTCGATATTTTTCTGATTCTTCTATGAATGGCACTTTATTTTAACTTTATCGGTTAAGTGAAGTAAAGTGAAGTGAGGTATTTCCTAGTTTACCGAAAAAAGTAAGGTGAAGTAAAATAAAATAAAGTATAGGATGTAATTGATGATTATTGATTTATTTGTTCATTATCACACATAAATCATATTGCGATATGTCAAAAGTTGCGTCGAATTTTACGGATTGGAGTCATCGAAAAATCTATACCTAATTTTATTACCTTGAGAACCAACATAAATCGCTGACTATTTTATGTTCTACTCTATCTTAATCCGATTTTCCACGTTTGGGATTCCAATCTCAAGTATCAAAAAAAAATGTTCGTTGCTGTTTTATTACAAGTCTTTATAATTCAACAGTAATAAGTGCGCTGATTACAAATTCCTTATTTATCCCCAACAGTATTCAAATAACAAGAAAGCTAGAAAGCACTTCTTTAAAGTCTTGAAAAACTAATTTTTAACTGAAAATTTCATCAAAAGACGGCTCTATCTCGTCAAAAATATGTTCTTTTCATGCATAATTTTTTTCTCTGTTGGAGAATATGAGAGCTTGTTGAATATTCGATTTTATTCTATCGATAATTGCCAAATATCATTTCGATTGAGTCATATCTTCTTTCATAATTTTTTTTTTCGTCTTACAAATCAGAGTCTCTAGACATGTAGTAATTAGATTTCATTACTAATTACACACATGAATGTTTTCTTTCTAATGACGCTATTCTCGACTAGAAATTCCATATTTACTAAAGCAATTTTGCTCAAGATCCTATTTTTGAGATCCTTTTTGTGTCTTTTTCGACTAATATTTCATGGGCTCCAAATAGAAAAATCTCATTTGACTTCAGACAACTTCTATACCTATAATCCATGCACAATACTGAATTGGCCTATGTATGTCAGAGACGTCATCTAGCTTGGATTAATACGAGACAGACATGCAGAATTTGCTGATAAAATATAAAATTTCTATACAAGTTAGTAGGAGTCAGAAGCACAGTATGTCATTTGTCTCTGAGCTTAACAGTTTGTTTCAAAAGTATACTGACTAATCTTGTATATTCTTATGTAACCAGAATAAGGATTCTTGCTTCTTTGGAAAACGTGACAATCACGTTGCCTCTGATTGCATGGATTTGTATGCTAAAACACATTTGCATCATTTTCTTTGCACTATCTCATCTTGAAGAAATTCAAAAACAAATATACTATTCGATTTGTTCTGCAAATGAGTCTAATCAAACAAAATAAAAACGAAAATGCAATTCGGCAAGCAATGAGTAGTTTTGGTTCAACCATAGAAGAATGTACAGAATACATGTTCGCTTTTGAGAAAACTTGGAAACGAAAGACTGATGATATCTATGCCTCTAATTATCACAATCAAGCAAATGTTGCATAAAAAACAAGGTTTTATTATTTATTTATAGAGACGAAATCAAAAGAAGTTGGTGTTTCTTTACTTTTGACTCACTCTGAGTATAAATAAACCGAGACTCGTTTGGAGAATTGAAAAAAATTCCCTAGAAGAAAAAGCATTGGTCAAAAAATTTTCTTTGAACTTTTTAAATTTTGAAAAATTGTTTCCTGGCACCACTAGGTTTTCAAAACCTTCTCTGAACGGCCGTTCACGAACACAGATAGGTTCTGCATGCCTTGTACAGGTGTCCATTGGGTTAGGACTTCCACAGGGCAGCCCAAGTTCAAATCAGTTGCTCGAATCGACCATTTATACGATTCCATCTCGAAGCCACTCATAAAAAGTTGCAGGTAGACTTTTAGATTAATCCAAAAGTCATCCTTGGGCTAACTCATTAAATAATCCATACTTCAAAGAAATTAGTTAGCAAAAGGGTGGTGCCTGTTTGTCGTGAACAACGTATACTCTTGTCTAACATAGGAACCCCTAAGAGTCCTTCTTTTATAATACATGTCGTATATGAAAATAATCAAACATAGGATGATCTAAATCTGTCTAAATGCCATTTGCATAGGGATATCAAACGATGTGTGGTTCAAAAGGTTCTCAATTAAGTGGAGGTCAAAAGCAACGTATAGCCATTGCACGTGCTCTACTTCGTAATCCAGTACTGTTCTTATGCGACGAAGCAACTGCAGCACTAGACAATGTTTCTGAAAAGGTATAATGGTGTGAAATTGATTGAATCCTTTTTTTAAAATGTTTTTCACGATTATTCGGTTCTAGCTTGTTCAAAAAGCGCTTGAAGATGCTCAACAATCCATTGGAAATCGAACATCATTGACAGTTGCACACCGCCTCACAACCATTCAGAACTGCCACATGATCCTTGTTCTCAACTATGGCCGTGTGTCTGAAAAGGGATCTCATGAAAGTTTACTAGCACAACAAAAGACTTATTATCGCATGTGGATGATGACACAAGATCGTTGATAAAATAGAATCAGAGAGGCATTTATTCTTTAACGAATTGTATTTTTCATTTGTCTTTTGTGTGCTGAAATGGAGTTTGTGAAGTAGAGAACAAATATTATGTGTGTTCATGAAGGAACTTACGAGAAGTGCGACTTTGTATTATCAAGTTTGAATGTGACACTACTGTTGTAGGATCCTAAATGATTGAGCACTCGTAAAATTCGTATCAGGCACTTTCCTTACCTTCAAAGTCAATTAGACCAGTAAAATGACAAGACAAAAAGTCCTAACACTTTTCTCAGAATATAGCTAAGTTTACTTGCAAAGTGTCATTCCCAAAAGCAGATGAGGTGATCCTCTTTGTAATGTCTTGCGTTCCTAAATCATAGGATACTGTTAACGATGGCTCCACTCACTTTGTTTTCAGTGATATTATCATACAGAGCTAATAATTTGTTTTCTGAACAGAGTGAATATTTCTACATTGGCATATATTTATTCGCTCCTTAAAAAAGCACTTTCTGTTTCATAGGAATCATAAAAACATGAATAGGATCAAGCTATTCTTTCAATTTTTTGAGTACTGTTGATTTCGTCACTAGCAGCACCTTTTATTCTTAGTTGTACGATTCATACATCAAATGCAACAGCTATCAGAATCAAGCGAGACTTTAAAAATCAGATGATGAAAACGCTGACGTTGACTTTTATTAAGAGTAGCATCAAAACTGTGGTTATAGGTATGCATGAGTGTCAGATCTACGCGTACACCAGTACTTGCTCTCTTGCAGTACCTTTCGAAGGTACTAGAAATTCACAGGAAGTGTCTACTTTTTTCAAGCAATGACAAATAAAAACATGAGCGTTAATTATCAAGTTTAAGCACTGTTGACAAGTATAAAATTTACTGAAGCATTTTTCCGGTATGGCGAATAGAATGTCACCAATATTGCTTTTCCATTCGAACTGCAGAAAAACTCTGATACTCACACTTTTGATCTATCAAAGCTAATTAACCGCATTTCAAATTACTTTTTGTGTCGAGCGAACAGAGTTTGATGATGGACATCTGTCTATTTCTCAAAAATTCTTTGTCTTAGTGTACTAATATGAAACAGCTATTTATTATGGTAGTCAATTTTATCGGCATTCGTAATAAAAGTTCGACTGGTTCAACTGTGGAGTCTCCTCAATATATGTGGGTAAATATTGAGCAAATATGAACGATTTATTATAGTTTAATATTCAACAAGTGGCCAATGTTGCACATCACATTTCGTGATCATGGACATTTCATTTCAGTTTGTTTGATTTTTTATTGAATTATCTTTTTGTCTTGCGTACGATTAATCCGAGCTTAAATCCAAACGAACTAAACTAGAATCCTTAAAGGATTATATCGATTGGGATAGTTCGATCTTTACAACAGAATGGTGCGAATACCGATAGACGAAAGATAGTAAACATCTTTGACAGTTGTAGAATTCAAATATAGTGATTCATCAATCCATAGATTTCTTGAGAAATATCGTTAAAATAGACTGATTGAATTAGTTTTCCGTAGCAAATGGGACTTTAGTATTAATATTTTTATTTGACAAAAAAAACTCATCAGCGAAAGATACATTATGAAATTTGGGAGCGTCTTAAACAAATTGTGTGTGGGTGTGGAGTGTGAGCTATGGATGGAAGCCTTCTCTTCATCACTCACCCCAACACTCTGTCAACCCTTGTTAATATAATAGAGAAGTATCTGAAAAATCGCTGGTCTCTTTGAGACAACCGACAACATAAATTCGCTTTTTTTCACAGACAGCATCTTCTTACATGTTATCGACAAACTTCAAGTAGCTGAAAAAGCAGTTTTGATTTTACAGCTACATGATTCTATCTCTAGTTGTGCATGAGGTAGGTATGGATGTAGGGTATAGTAGAACGAACCCTATGAAAATCTTGCCAGGATCCTCGAGAATCTTGTTTTGAATTCTTTGGGAACCCTGAAATTCCGTGGCTACCCACCTCTTTTAGAATTTAGTCGTTTTCTCAGGAAAAAACATCAAATTCTTGCAAGATCTTGATTATGTCTGTTAAGGATCTGGCGCTGAAATATCAAAGATTTTCCA